AGCACACACTGTGAGAACCAATGGAAAGGAGCCGGAGCTACTGGAACCTATTCCCTATGAATTCATGGCATGATGGGTGTTAAAAATAAACTAATCTGTGGTCTATAAAAAAAACTTAAAAACACAATGGGTAGCATGGACTTTAGAAAAGTATATATTGCAGAAATGCAATGTAACAATCCTTTCTGTTATAAGCATTCATGGTTTTGTACCTTTTCCAGAATCTTCTATTTATGTTCTTTGTAATCTATATCTATATATGTTCTTTTTCATCAATTTTCTTTAGGTTTCTGCCATCAGGTGCATGGGAGAGAGACAAAGATAAGTGAGAGGGAAAGTAAGAAATCTTCCCCTGGGGGATGACCACACCATAATCCCGCCTTCTCTATTCTCCTCCTGGGATTTTGGGCATACATGCACACACGCCTGGCATGAGTTTCAAGCCACCAAGTCTGGAACTCGAACTGCAGTTGTCCTTGTGGGAGTCCAGCACCTTAACCACTACGCCACCTGCCGGCCCCTTTAGTGAACACTGTAAAGAGATTAACAGTTACCTGTACATAGTTTAAAACCCATGTATTCTCAATGCTGAGTGAAACACGCCCATCTCAAAGGTCACAAGCTGTATGATTCCCAGAGTGGCCATTCTCTAAGTGACAAGCTTACAACGCCTGGGGGCAGGTTATCCTTGCCAGGCATCAGGTTTGGGGGAAGGTGTGCCTGTTAAGGGGTATGAAGGGAACTTCTGGGTGATGGTGGGCCATTCCTGTCTCTGGACTGCAGTGACGGTGACTCCGGTCACACATGACAAAGCGTCCTAGAACCGTGCGTGCGCACAGAGACGGGAGAGAGCGCAGAGCGTAGAGCTTGGTGAGATAAGCACAACATGCCTGCCTGTGTTCACAGCAGTGCTGCACCAGTGCCGGCTCTGGGGGGAGTACTTGCAACCCCCTTTGAGTCTTAAATTACTCCAAAGCAAAATCATGATCATTAAAAAAAAATTAACTGGCGCAAGAATGTAACGTTCCCTGTTAAAAACAATACCCATGGTGGTATCTTCACTTGACTGACATGCTTTGAAAAACCGTACCCTAGGGAACCAGCAGTTAGCGTAATGGCTATGTCGCTGGACTCCCACGTAGTCGACCGCGGTTCGTGTCCCGGACCCGGTGGCTTAAAACTCACGCCTGGCGTGTGTGCGTGCGTGCCCAAGATCCCGAGAGGAGAATGGAGGAGAAGGGATTGCAGCGTGACCATCCCCCCTGGGGGGTGATTTCTCGCTTTCTGTCTCTATGTCTCTCTCTGTCTGTCTGGCGAGCGCACGCGCCCTACAGTGAAAATCTCTCAAAAAAAAAAAAAAAAAAGAAACCGTACCCTACACTATAAAGATGGGCAACGATTAAGTGTAAATAAATCATTTTAGGGCGGCAGGTGGTGCGGTGGTTAAGGCCGGCTGAGTTTCCAGTTCTAGACCTGGCAGCTTGCTTTCTTTCTCACTTTCCCGTTCTCTTTCTCTCTGGTCAAATTAAAAATTAAATTAATTAAATAGTTATTTTAAAAAAGAAAAGAGGTCAGGGAGGAGGGAGATGCCGTGGAGGAAGCTCGGGTGCGGCCTGGCGGTGGGCCTCACCTTGGCCCACAGGAAGCCCTCGGAGAAGAGCATGATCTCGCAGATCTGCTGCAGGTCAGGCACGATCACCACCACGGGCCGGAACAGGGCTTTCACCGACTCAGGCAGCTCCGTGCGGCCGGCGTAGCCGGGGTTCATAGTGATGAAGATGCCCATGCGCGAGTCCAGGGAGATCTCGTGCCCCTCGAACTAGAGACAGCAGGAGAGGAGGGGCGGTCACGGGGCGCCGGGAGGGAGCAGGCGGGTGGCGGTGGTGTGGCTGCCGTCTCACCCCGGGAGGGAGGGGGCGGGCAGGCGGCGTGGCTGGGACGGGCGGGCGCGTGGCTGCCTTCTCTCTCAAGGCCAACAGCACCGCTTGCCTCTGTCCCGTCCAATGCCAAGCCCATTGCTGAGGGTGAGAGGCCGGGAGCGACACCAGGGCTGAGCCCGGACTGACTGTGAGCAAGTCTCCCCACCGAGGGGGGAAGGCGGGCAGCTGGGGCTGGCATGGGGTGTGGGACCTTCAGTAGGTGCTTAAGCCTCTCTGAGTCTCGGTTTCCTTGTCTGCAAAACAGGGAAGCGGCCCACCTCGTGGCATGGAGGTGGCGATGAAATGAGCCAGTGGACGTGCGAGCACGCGGCCCTCGGTAAGGTACCACGCACAGGCTTCCTCTGACCCTTCCCCGCGCCCACCTGCACCTGCTGCCAGACCCACAAGGCCCTCCCTGTACACTCCCACCTCAGCACCCTCCAGGCTTGTCCCTCCCCTCGCTCCGCAGAGCGCGGCAGAAATCCCGGTACCCTCTCAGTGTCTGGCCAAAGGCTGGGTGCCCCCTGCCCCGCCCTGAACGGGAGCCCCTCGGCTTCCTTCCAGCTAAGACTTTATCCCTGTACTTTTTTATATCGTCCACCAGGGCGAGGGTGGAAATGCTCATTTCCGTGAGGCGTGGGCTGTGTCACTTGAAGAGGGAGCCCCACAGTGGGCAGGTGCACCCACAGAGCGGCTGCCGTCCCACCCCAGCTCCACACCAAGGCCTCCCACACCTCTCCCTGCAGCCCACATGTGGCCACGACAGTCCTCAGAGAAGATGGACGGGCCTGCTCTTAGAAACAGCCTCCGGACACCCAAAGGACGCCTCGCAGGTCCAGTGTTCCTCCCCGAAAGCAAGTTAGCCAGCCCTGAAATATCCCCGAAGCATGAATTACAGGGGTCTGTCCTGACAGTCCACAGTCCCTGAACAGTGAGCCCCACTGGGGTCTGTGGAGAACGCGGGTGCCGTGCCAGGATGCCGGCCCCGAACCTCCCAGTGGAGCTCTGCAGGGCCAGGGAGGGTGTGCAGGAGTTTCCAGGTGAAGAAACAGACAGACGGGGACACACGTGGTGTCATGCAGTGACACGAGGACGGGGTACATGGAGTGAGGACAGTGGCAAGGGGAGCCACATGGCATGCCAGGACCAGAGAGGGCCCTGGTGTGGGGGACGGCCCCGCCACGCTGGCCCCAGATTTTCAGAGAGCCCACTTCCGGGCTGCGACATTGCAGAATGTGCTGCCCCCCACATTCTCCAGTGCACTCGGGCAGAATTTAACGCAGGCCTCTCCAACTCCAGCCGGCAAACATGTGTGGATGCAGACTGGCAAATTCCCAGTGGTTTTTTTTTATACTTTTGTCTTCTCACTCGGATAATGACCTTAAAAATCCTCCTCAGAACTGGCCAGTCCCCCACAGGGAGCCTCGTCTGGAAAGGCGACTAGCTGCCCTCCGACGTTCCGAAGGTAATGCCGCGTGTCCCCGTCCCAGGGGCGCGGCCCGTGCAGGCCTCATGCCTCGCCTCACCTGGAATGTGGTCAGCTGGTGGATCAGCGCGTTCCGGATCGTCTGGATCTGAGACGAGATCACCGATAGCACGGATGCGTCGATCCGATTGAACTCATCGAAGCAGCCCCAGGCCCCGCACTGCGCAAGGCCAGAGAAAATCTTCCCGACAGCCTGGAACGAAACGCATGTCTGGACAGTGACAATTTCACAGCACACGTTCTGAAGGGAAGAGACAGATCACGGCCTGGCAGAGGGGCTGCGGACCTCCCCTCCACTGACAGATCTCTCCGGCGTGACCTCCAGGGATTCTCATGGACCAGCTCCCTCCCAAGATTTGACAAATTGAGACTTCTATATAAGACTCCAGATTTCTGGCTTCTCCTGCAATGGTGGAAAATCCAGTCACACTGGGCCCACTTTACAAAGTGGCAACAGGAGTAACCACCACTGAACTGTGGTGCCCTCTTTAGATGGACCACTATGCTCCAGTTGGCCACAGTCCCCACCACTCCCTCTCTTGGTCTCTCGGCTGCTTTTTTTTGGAGAGGTTTTTGCTATAGGGCACGTGTGCTTGCCAGAAAGACAAAGACAAAGAGACACAAAGCGAGAAATCAACCCCCAGGAGGGATGACCATGCCACAATCCCTTCTCCTCCACTCTCCTCTCAGGATGTTGGGCACGCACGCACACACGCCCAGCGTGAATTTAAGCCACCAGGTCCAGGACTCGAACCGCAGCCAACTATATGGGAGTCCAGCCACATAGTCATTACGCCAACTGCTGGTCCCCTCTCTAGGCTGCTTTACTCATGTGCACTCTCTGCCTGACCCTGGGCGGCACTCCGGTTTGGGACTCTTGCTCTACTGCCGCTAACCCAGCAGACACACCCCAGTTCCGGTGGAGGAGGAAGGTCTTCTACCACATTCTCCCAGCCCTCACCCCATCACTTCATCGGAGACCACGGAATGAAGCGCCTATCTGCCACATCCCACTTTCAGTAACAAAAGTGACAGCAAGCCTTACTTTGGGGCCAGCCCATGCATGGTGGTTAAGGTGGCTGGGTCCCACATGGCTGGCTGCGTGGCCTGAGTCCTGGAAGCACATCAGGTATGTGTGTGCACGCACCCAAACGCCCAAGGAGGGCGTGGAGGAGAAGGAACTGCAGCACCGCCAGCCCCGTGGGGAGGGCTTTCTTCATTCCTCTCTGGCACGTTTTAAAAAACAAAAAGGAAGACAGGCGTACTTTGTAATCCATGCCCTCGCCGCAGTTGGTCACGACGCACAGCAGGCCCAGGGCCTTTGCCAGGTCCTTGGTGGTCTCCGTTTTGCCGGTTCCTGCCGGGCCGGCAGGGGCCCCACCCAGATACATGGACAGCGCCTGGGAACCCAAGAGAGAACACGTGTTTTCTGATGCACGGAAGGAAGCGTGTCACCCCAGACTCACCGCCATGACAGCGCGTGCAGAAGACAGACGGAAGATAAAAGACAACGCGGGGCTGAGCGCATGGGTTCGTAAATCTTCCTTTTCTCCATGAGTGAGAGTCAGAGACAGACGGCACGCCACCAGGTCCTCTCACCGTGACCCATCCCCGGCTTCCCTCGGCCCCAGACCACGGGCACACAAGTGCCAGCATCTCAGGGAGTCTCTGGATGCAAACTCAGAACCTTCCCGCGTGGGCTGGCCTCACAGAGCCCGTATCACTGCCATGTCATTGTTCGCTCCCTGAGAGCCGACTGGATGTGAGACCGGCTGAGCCGAGGCGCCATGGGACACTCCTCTGGGCAAGGCTGGGGCCATGCGGGAGGCTCAGGTTCAGACCCCAGATCCACCCACGCAGGCCAGGTGCAGTGGCCCGTGCCCATGGTCCAGCTCACTGGGAGGCCGGGGTAGAGCCTATCAGAAAGAGCTCTCTTTTGCTAACCCAGCAGACACACCCCAGTTCCGGTGGAGGAGGAAGGTCTTCTACCACATTCTCCCAGCCCTCACCCCATCACTTCATCGGAGACCACGGAATGAAGCGCCTATCTGCCACATCCCACTTTCAGTAACAAAAGTGACAGCAAGCCTTACTTTGGGGCCAGCCCATGCATGGTGGTTAAGGTGGCTGGGTCCCACATGGCTGGCTGCGTGGCCTGAGTCCTGGAAGCACATCAGGTATGTGTGTGCACGCACCCAAACGCCCAAGGAGGGCGTGGAGGAGAAGGAACTGCAGCACCGCCAGCCCCGTGGGGAGTGCTTTCTTCATTCCTCTCTGGCACGTTTTAAAAAACAAAAAGGAAGACAGGCGTACTTTGTAATCCATGCCCTCGCCGCAGTTGGTCACGACGCACAGCAGGCCCAGGGCCTTTGCCAGGTCCTTGGTGGTCTCCGTTTTGCCGGTTCCTGCCGGGCCGGCAGGGGCCCCACCCAGATACATGGACAGCGCCTGGGAACCCAAGAGGGAACACGTGTTTTCTGATGCACGGAAGGAAGCGTGTCACCCCAGACTCACCGCCATGACAGCGCGTGCAGAAGACAGACGGAAGATAAAAGACAACGCGGGGCTGAGCGCATGGGTTCGTAAATCTTCCTTTTCTCCATGAGTGAGAGTCAGAGACAGACGGCACGCCACCAGGTCCTCTCACCGTGACCCATCCCCGGCTTCCCTTGGCCCCAGACCACGGGCACACAAGTGCCAGCATCTCAGGGAGTCTCTGGATGCAAACTCAGAACCTTCCCGCGTGGGCTGGCCTCACAGAGCCCGTATCACTGCCATGTCATTGTTCGCTCCCTGAGAGCCGACTGGATGTGAGACCGGCTGAGCCGAGGCGCCATGGGACACTCCTCTGGGCAAGGCTGGGGCCATGCGGGAGGCTCAGGTTCAGACCCCAGATCCACCCACGCAGGCCAGGTGCAGTGGCCCGTGCCCATGGTCCAGCTCACTGGGAGGCCGGGGTAGAGCCTATCAGAAAGAGCTCTCTTTTTCTCTCATTAAACTGCTTTTCTTGACATGAGCAATTTTATTTTAAAAATACCTATGTAATGACCACAGTAAGCTATACAGCATCAGCTAGGTGCTACTTTATAGTATATTCATTCTACTCAGAGTTTCCTGCCTAAAGTCAGATGTGTGTTCACAGCCATGTATGTATTAGCTGGACTTGCTATTGAAAGTAGTTAGATTAATTAAGATATTTTGTGAATCAATAAAATATGGGGAGGGGAAGGAATGGAAAGCAACTGTAGACACCAGAGACATGAGGAGGAGGGTGGGAAATGGCAGAGAGTGAGCAATATGGGGGGAAAAATTTGTAGACATATATGAAACAAGAAATGGAAAATTACTTGTTGACAATAACATGTATGATTAAGCCACTATACAGTGTATTCCGGATGGGAAATCACATTGTGTATGTAGTGAAGATGTTCAGTGAATGAATGTAAAATAATTAATTTAATTTTTTTTTTAATAATAATCATTTAAAAAAGAAGAAAACAGGGAGAACTATTCCTAGATCCCTAGTAAAACATTATTCCTGGTGTGTCTGGGGTCCGGGAGGGGGTTTCCGGAGGAGATGAGCCTTTGAATCGTGGACTGAGCAGTGTGACCGCCCTCCCCGGTGTGGGTAGTGTGGCCCACGGAGGCCTGAACAGAGCGAGGAGGTAGCAAAGGGCTGACCCTGCCTGACTGCTGCACTGGGACGTCGGTCCTCCAGCCTCCACCAGACTAGAACCTGCAGCACCGCTCTCCAGCTCTCAGGCCCTCCCGCTACACGGAGACAGCAAGTCCCGGACTACTGAGCCTCCAGAACTGGGGGGGCCACGACCTGGAGACGTGCCCGCACCCCGCTGGCCCTGTTCTCGGGAGAGGCCTGACTAGCACAGATAAGACCACCCTCTCTCTGTTTTCATGATGAAGACTCCGTCCCTCAGCACAGAAGGCAGTGTAGACTCTGCTGGGCTCTGCATTCTCACCACTCCCGTACCCCAGGCCCTGAGTCCCGCAGGGTGGTGCCGATGGCCCTGTGGTTGCGGCCTCATGGTGAGGTGGAGTCCCGGGCTCGGAAACCAGCCTCACTGGGGCAGTCTCCCCAGCCCCAGGTGTGAGTGTCATGATCCTGGACAGCAGAAGGGCTGCAGTCGGGGGGGACCGCCATCTCTGTCCCCTACGGCTGTTCAGGTGAACAGACCCTCTGCAGCAAAGGTCGCCACCAGACGTGGAACACGTGGCACCCCGCCGTTTCTAGGAGGAGCTGTCTTTGACATTTCCTCGCTGTCCATCAACCTGTGCTGACCCCTTCTGCCCCCATCCACATTACAGAGGACCCAAGTGGCCTGCTGGAAACCGCCCGGCACCCACACCCGATGTCCCCAGAGGTGACGTTCATGGGCACGCTGCGCCCCAGGCCTAATGGGTGACAACCGGTCCCATTGCAAAGGTAGGTCCCCAGGAAAGCTCACAGCGGCCACCTCCCAGCTGTCCCAGCCCCCACAAGCACTCAGGTGAGCCGCGGCCCTGCACAGTCACCTGCGTGAGTGTCAGATAGATGCGGTCCGTGAGCGGTGTGATGACCAGCCTCCCGTTCAGGCCCATGTACTCGTAGCCGTAGCTGAAGGTCCCTGTGCACTGGCGGATGCTAAGCTGGTCGGGTTCCCGGTCCCAGTAAAAGCGCAGCTGGCTCTCCCACTCGAACTCCCGGGCCTCGAGGATGCTGGCCGTGAGAGGGGGAGGAGAGGAAGGAGCTGTGGCTGAGGGGGGCCGAGCGGGGCCGAGGGGCCACAGGGGTCCGTGTGGAAACACGCGTGCCCTTGCAAGGGGCCTACCTGCTTCTTATGAATGAGTCAACGATGTCGCGGGCGTGCACGTCGATGATGAGGACCGTGTTGTACTTCTTCCGGTCGTTCTTGCTCAGGGGCATGGTGATGCGGGTGACCAGCTCGTCGATCTGCCGGTGCATCTTCCGGCCGTGGTTCTTCATGGCCTGCTTCTCCCCGCCCTGCACTTTGCGGAAGACGTCCTCCACCTCCCACGTCCACCACACCTGGCAGGCGGCCAGCACCACCATGCCTTGGTACCGGAGCATCCAGTCGACTCTGCAGAAAGAGCGCACCTTGGAATGGCAGCCGGCCCAGGCCTGGCACCTGAAGCAGTCCTGCTGAGGGCTGCACGGTGGCACCGCGGTGAAAAGTGATGCATGAGGGTAAGGTCCACGACTGCATCCAGAGAGCTCCCCGAGCACCCAGGCATGAGCACGCCACGATCGGGGCGGGTGGGTGCTGGGGTGGGGCTGGTGTTGAGACCCTGTCGGGTTCTCTGTCTCTGTCTCTGTCACTCAAGTTCATGGAGGAATTAATAAGCTTACAAAAAAAAAAGAAGAAGAATTTAGGAGTCATCAAGTGGCTGACCATGATTTGAGTCCCGGGTCCAGCAGCTTGAAACTCACATGTGTGGGACCAGCAGATGGCATAATGGTTATATTGCTAGACTCCCATGTAACTGACCACAGTTCGAGTCCCAGACCCGGTGGGCATGTGTGCATGTGTGCATGCCCAAAATCCTGAGAGCAAAATGGATTGTGGCCACCCCCCTGGGGGGTGATTTCTCACTTTCTGTCTGTCTCTCTGGCAAGCACACGCACTCTATAGCAAAAATCTGTCCCTAAAAAGAGAAAGAAAATCCTACGTGTGCCCAAAATCTCTAAGGAGATTGGAGGAGAAGGGACTGTAGCGTGACCACCCCCCAGGGGTGCTTTCTAACTGTTCCTGTCTCTGTCTCCTGCCTGAGTCTAACAGAGTGAGCCGTCCAGGTGCTTGATGTACTGGGTCATCAGAAAGCCACGAGCGTTTTCCTGTTTTTTCTGTGTAAAAACGTGTCACAACTTCTCTGATGACCCGATAGCTTGAGCTCACCCATGCAAAAGGCCACCAGGGCAGGCGTGGCTCGGTGGGCCCGGCTCTTCCTCCGCCACAGAAAACC